GCAGTCAACTTTTCGGCCAGCATGTCAGCAGCCTTCTCTGGTCAGACAGTATGAGGGGAAGATTAGTGAAAAGTGTCCTTACATTGATGCAAGCTCTTATAAATTCCAGGGCAATGCTACCCCCCCTGGAATTCTGTTGCATTGTTGTATCATCGGGGGGACAAGTCAGATTAGCCTTGTGTACACAAGGAATGTGTGAGAATGACTGTATAGTGTTCAAGTAGCATGTATGCCTTGACATCTGTAAATTTCCAATAATCAAACATAACATATTTAAATTGTTTCTTCTGTAACAGTTGTATCATCTTGTCATTTTCTTGTAATTATATATTTAATATTATTAATGTTAATTATGAAAAAACAAAAACAATACCAATCGTTTATCATCAAGAATCTCGTAAATACCCAAAGAGACAGACAAGATCTGCTCCATGTTTTGATTTCAACAAGACATTTTATTAAGTAAAGAATCAATACATGTATATCAATATTTATAAAACAATTAAATGATTAAAAAAAAATAGTGTACCTCTCACCATCAATAAACAACACCTTGTCTTCTTTAAAGCAAGCCATACTATGCAACAATGTTTACGCTTTCTCGTCTTGTAAGAGATAGATAAATTGTTTTTCCAAAAAAATAAAAAAATAAAAAAAAAAATCAATCGCGTCAACAATAATAACAATCTTTGTACAACAACACGCGCGTAAATAAAATTTTTCTTGTGTATGTCGATCTAAATATATAACAATCTTTTTCTTTTTTTTAAAAAAAAAAACCATGTCAGTAGTTGAGAAACAAAAAAGAAAACGCAAAGGAATCAAGCTCGCCGATTCCAAAGGGTAAGTGTTTATTAAATGGTGGTTGTTGCAATCGCTGCAACTCTAGTTTTTTTCTTAAAATTATTCAAAACACACATCTTAATTGTCATTTCTCCCTCCTTCCTCTTTTAATTGTACTCTAAACAAATTTCATTCATCTTGCTTTCTTTTCCTTTATTTTACGTACCTCACTATTACAAAGGCCAAACGACACAAAAAGGAACAAACTAAGAAAACATGAAACAAACCATCACAAGATTGTTGAGTAAATATTATTATTATTATTATTATTATTATTAATTATAATTATTAAAGAAAATGATGATGGTTGTGATCATTGCAATCCCAGGCTGTAATAAAATAAATATTTTATTTACGTGTTTTTTTTTTTTTTTTTTAATATAAATCCTTCAAAAAGAATTGGAGATTTAAATAAGTAAGTAATATTATTGTTTTTTGAGATTATTAAACAACTTGCCATTCTAGTTAAAATACAATTTTTTCTTTTTTTTTACTTTGCAACAAACAAAATTAAATTTTTTCCAATCAACAGAAAAAACAGAAAAGGTATGAAATATATGGTATTTAATAATGTGAATGGAGAATTATTTTTTCTTGAGAGTTGAAAATCATTGCAATTATATAGATGTTTTGTGACCAAAAAGCCAGAACATAATTGAGGCTTCTACATCTATCTCATTGAAATCTGAGGTGAGTAATTATATTTTCTATTATTTTATTTTAACATACAAAAATATCTTTATCAAACATTTGGATGTGCACACAGGTTGCAGATGATGCCCTCCTTGTTGTTTTAGCCTATAACAATCTTGTCGTGGGTAATATCGTTCCTTTTATAAAGATTGTAAAGGCTTTCTTGATAACAAGATCACGAATGTCCCTGCGTTCGGCAAATGAGCCTGTCCTCCAGGCAATTGTCGAGATCCTTCTCCCATCAAGATACCATGTTCCAGAACTTTGTTTGGTAATGAATAGCAAAAAACAAAAGGGATCAGGTCACTTTGGCTATCTTGATGTTTTTGTTCTGGGAGGAGCTGAGGGTAATAATATTAGTTTAGAATTAAAGTACATTTCATTAACTGGTTTGATGAGAGATATTAAGGGAAGTTCGATGAAAAAAATTGATGCGAATGAATTAGAAAAATTAGATAAGATTCTAGAAAAAGAAGATGAAGAATCTTTACTTGGAAGGAAATATGTATATTGGTCTGAGGAACAAATAAGATGAAACAGACATCTATACGTGGAATATTAAATAATGGAGTAAAACAGGTGGGATCGTACATGAATACGATCGCAAAGGGACAAGTCGTTGGTTACTCTGCTGAAGGAGTATTGGATGAAAGGATTCAGATAGTCAAATCGGATCCTAATAAGTTAAAAGGTTTCGTAATAGTAGTAATTGGTTTTCGTCGTGTTATATCGAGACCTGTCGAAGACATAATGTCGCATTATAAATATAATAAGGTTTAAGAAGGTATTGCATTTTTTCCTTTTAGTAATTGAGCAATTTTACATATTTTAGGCTAATCATTTGTTCATACTCATTTGTATTTATTTTATTTGTAATTTAATACAGTCAGGGAATATGCTAAATTTGGTATTTCCTAATTTATAAATGATAAACGTTCTGGAATTTCTTTAGAAGAAAATTTGATTGGCTAAATTTATGCAGATCCTTTTGTTAATAAATATAAACAATCTTTAAAGGAAGAGAAAAAATGAGAAAATCATGGCGAGAGCTTTATTGACTGGTCATAAACTTCCGAATTATATGGGACTAAACAATATGAGATGACATTTTTGCAATTTAACATATATTATATTATCCTGATAGATAATTTTAATATATATATGTACACATTAATTTTTTCTGTAATAGTTATTTAATAATAATAAAAATAATGTTTATTATAATTATAACCAAACAAGTTATTCTTTTACCCATTAAATATAATTAATATACACAAATAAGTGTGTTTATAATTATAACTAACCATGTTATTCCTTTTAACCATTAAATATAATATAACCAATCAAGTTATTCTTTTACTCATTAAATATAATTAATATACACAAATAAATGTGTTTATAATTTATAACTGACCAAGTTATTCCTTTTACCTATTAAATATAATACACACACATAAAAATCAGTAACCTGATAATGATTTTAATATTGTATACAAATTCAATAATTTTTTTTCTTTACCTGCAAATTCATTGATATAATAAAAATAATCAATTAATATTAATTATGCTCCCTGATCATGACTAAATTATTCACTTTACCCATTGAATATATACATATATAAAAATTGGTATAATATTCCTAATAATTCATAAAACAATAAATAAATTTATAAATTTATATATATATATATATATATATAAATAAGTTATTTAAAAAATTTTTTTTTAAGTAATCCTTACATGTAAATGTTTGTAAATTCAGATAAAAGCAAACTTATGGCATATTCATTAATAGACAACTAGGAGTTCGTTCTATATATCCATCCCTATGGTTACTATTAATAAGAAATTTGTATAGTTGGTTAACAAAATTATTTTTTTAAATCAATACATGAGATCAAGAACTTACTATTAAAAGATCTTAGAAACTAGAAGTTCTATTTTATTTATTCCTATGGTTATTAAGAATTTTTGTATAAAGTTACAAGAAATGATAAGGTTTCTAACAAAATAACTTTGAATGTGAACTTAAATAATGAAAAAAATGAAATTTTCTTCAACTAATAGCTTTTTATATCTTGTAAATTTTGCAGTGATCCTCAGGGATCCTCGGGTTATATATTCAGAAGAATTTGTTTTGACTTTTATATATGAATTTTATTAAAAAAATTTTTTGTTCAACATATACAAAAGTATCACGTAAACTCATTTGCAACATATATGAATTGATCGATGAGGGGGGTTCCAATTTTTCCAGAATCGATTTCCATATTTAGCATATTCCCTGACTGTAATGATCAAAGAAAGAGATCCTTCGTTAAAAGGCTTTTTTGATATGCTATATCAAAGTATATCCCTTCTTCAAAAAATTCCTCTACAGAAATAAGTCTAAAAAAAAAAGTAATGATTCTCTGTTACCAATTATCTGCCCAGTTTTGATTCTTGCTTTGATTACGAAAATTGTGAAATAGCAGTTGCTACAATGATGATAATTGCATATTAATTTGTGGTCATGAATATCATTATCAATCTTCAACATTGTCTTGATTAATTTGTTGAAATTCATACAACACATTTTTTAAAGATTGATCAAGATTTAAATCACCTTTCAAAATTAATTCTTCAGACCCTTCCAATTTAATATCTTCATTATCTATAGTATTTCATCCTCTTCTTCATCTTCTTCACCCTAGTACAGATGTATTATCTAAACGTTCTAATCTATTATTATATAAATTTCCTAAATACTCAATGCCATTCAATAATTAAATAAATTTTTGTGTAACAATTTATGATTTTGTGGAACAAATGAATGGTTACATTTTCAAGGCAAGTATGCATGAAAAGACGCTCTTTTAATGTATATTCCATACAGAATATGCGGAAAATGTATGGAAAAACCATACATTTTCTGACTAAATTTTTTATAGGGCAAGAGTTTTAAAAATTTGTTGACAAGAATCTATTTATAATTCATTGAAGCAAGTTTCATTGTAATGTTAATATTACAGGTGTGCACACTAAATACACTTAGTCTTTGATAGAATTAAGAAATTGAATAAAGATACATTCTGTAATCATTTGTATTTAGTAATTATAAAAGCACTTAACTAAATTTCATGATTCCAGGACATATCAAATTCAAATATCAAAAGATGTTGTAAAAAGGCCAGTAGATATTTGATAAAGTTGAAAATTTGATTCAGGACCTCATGTTTCTCAGGAAATAACTTTTAAAAAAGAGAAACCCCCTCATTACTTATTATTATTACATTTCAAAATCTTAAATTATTTAATATTATTTAAAAATACACACACAATAATAAGTCAATGAGTCTGTCTAAAATTACAAAAAATCAAATCAAAAATACATTATAAATAAATACAACTACAAGGACAAATCATTAATTATATGAATTATTTTTCTGCTGAGAGAAAACCCCATTATTTATACTCTTATTTAATTAAGAAATAATTAAATAAAGCATTGTTACAGCAATAACAAACAATGATGTAGCAATATTGTATAAATTATAAATTGAGAGTCCCAGATCAAGATGTCCAGATGAAGGAGTATTAGTTTCTTGAAATACTACAGTCGCTGAAGTAACTTTCTTGATCACCACAACAGTACTTGGTGGAATGTAAGTTGCATATGTGGTTAATTCTCCATCAGTCCCTGTTGAAGATGTATAAGTGGTGTACCCTGGGAAATATAATGTTTCTGTGGTAGTGTAAGTTTTGAATTGTGTTATGGTTGATTTTTCTTGGCTTGTGCCTATTTGGGATTGGGATGTTGTAGTTTTTTTAGGTGTTGGTGGTTCTGTAACTAATTCACTTTCTTCTGTTGTACTGATCACTGTTGGGCTATTTTTTTTTGCAATAAATTGATTAATTTAATTAATTTGTTGGAAAATAATGAATGTTTTTTTTAAGTAAAAAAAATAGAAATCACAGATCTGAGACTTACTCTGTTGCTTTAGGCTTACACCTTGGATCATCAGATTTTTTACATGGTTCATGTTCAGGTGGATATGTTTTAGTGGGAGCTAATTAATTTATATAAATTAAATATAAATATAAATATATTAATTATATAAGTATAAATATATTAATTCTATAATTAATTATACAAAAGAATAAAAAAAAGAAAAGAAAATCATAAATCAATAAAATTTATTTTCATAAATAATTATTATTTCCTTTGAATATATGTTGGGGAATTTCTAGCAAAAATCAGGTGTAAGTATAGTAAATCTTTTTGAGTGACAATCTCTGCAAAATATGTTACACATGCTTCTGGCTTCTGATATATAAAGTGAATATTTCAAGCCCTGTATCTTGTTATGGTACCAAGTAAACAATCCAATGTCTAAAATTTCGCCAGTTATAATACTTCTGGCATAGATATATATTATGCAGGAAGCTTAATTTTTGGTTTGGAGGCCTTGTACCTGGTTTTTGCTAGAAATCCCCACATACATATGATCCTCTTTTTGAATATATATACACCAGTGGTATTTGGATCAACATTAATCCTAGTTGAGCTTAAGCTATAGTAGAAAACGCTATTTGTATCTGTTAAAGCATCTGTATTAGTGTTAATGACAGGATTACTGCTAAAAATATCTGTTTTTGTATTTTTATCTGTTGATTTTATGTATTAGGCTCAGTTACTTGACTGTATTAATGGCTGGTGTGTCAGCAGTAGTAACACTAATAACTATATATTTGTGATATGATCATATTTATATTTTTAAAAAACTCATAAAATCTAAATCTAAATTTATCTAGCTAGCTAGGTAGGTATACAACTATTAATATATTCTATTTATATGTGTGTCCTTCCTTTCAAAAAAAAAGACTTACCAAAGGTTGGGGTATTTTCAGATGGTTCACTAACTGGGGTTTGTGTTGGACTATCTGGTGTTGTAGTGTCTGTGACTGGTGGTGTTGTGGTGTCTGCTACTGGTGGTGATGTTGTGGTGTCTGCTACTGGTGGTGTTGTGGTGTCTGCTACTGGTGGTGTTGTGGTGTCTGCTACTGGTGGTGGTGTTTAGGAGTTTCAAAAACAGTTTAGGAGTTTCGAACAGTTTAGGAATTTGGGCTCATTTTCTAAACCAGTTTAGAATGGTTTTAGTTCTAAACTCGTGAGTTTCGAAAGGCAACTCTACAGAAAACCATTAAATAAAGAAAAATTACAAATTATTTCATATTTATTTCTGTTCAAAGCACAGTATCTCTATCCTGATTTATGTAATTTAACAGCATTATAAATTGAAAATAGTAAAGAATTAATAATCAGTGATAAAATTTCTACATTAAAGCCTGTTTCTTTAGAAAAACAACACCATCTAAATCAAAATATGGGAGTCATAGCAATCATATATTTGGGTTTGGGTTTTTAGATAGTATAGCTTATTTAATAAAAAAATCACTTTTTGCAGAATTAAATTCCTCAACTATTGGAATATAATGATTGATGAAACTAATAGTGTCAATGGTAAATATTTTTAATTAAATTATATCATTTTGCAATTCAAATGAAATATCTTATTAACACAAATAAAAGATTGAATGCTTGTCGTGACATATTATGTAAAAATCGCTTTGCGTCATTGATGTTGATGAAAAAAGGGGTTTCAATTATTCTAAAGGGGATATCACAAACCACAAAAGCCTTTGAAATTAAATGATCTATAATTCCTGCATGTTAGAGGTTGGAATCGACTAAAATAGTCGACTATTTTAGTCAACTAACTTTTTTTTTAAACAACTAATAGTCGACTACTTTAGTTGTTTATTTAGTCGACTATTTTAGTTGACTATTTAGTCGACTAATACTAATTATTATTATTGTCTGGCCAATTATAAATGAAAACGTTTTTTGTGGTACAAAAAATTTTAATAATAAAAATAAATATGCGGAGTATCAATATTATGAAGAAGATGATAATGGTGGTGTTGGTGCTGGTGTTGGCAATAATTATCCATGCGAAATAATAAACATTGATACAAGGTCAAATCATTCCAACAATTCGTTGGCTTCGAGCTCAAGCAGCGGCTCCAGACCTTTAAAAAAAACGAATTATAACATATAGCTTCGTATGGAAGTATTTCGAGAAAATTAAAGATTCAAATGGAGATGAATTTGTAATCTGCAAATTAAAAAAAAACGTTAATAATAATGAAACAGAATGAATATTCTAATTAAATAGGATGTTATTCCCGTGACTAGTGTGACCATTTTGCGAAGCAAATGGTTACACGCTAGTATTAAAAAAATTTAGTCGACTAAAAGAAATTTTGACCAACTAGTAGTCGACTAAGGATTTTTTGGACGATTCCAACCTCTACTGCATGTCCTTTTGATAATATCTCATATTTATCCCAAGCGACTGTGTATTTGCTTTATATGCTGTATTTTCTAAAGATTCACTTACACCATCTCTTTCTGCAACAATATACATATATCTTTTTTTTTTAATGTATTCACATTCACGTGCCAAATAGACTTGTAATTTATTAACAACTTCATTACTCCATTCGCAATTACATGCTTTGCATTTAGCTCTAAAATGTTCTGGATGTTTTGAAGGATAGCATTCAAAATGTTGCCAAACTGCATTTTTTGGTCGCACACCAAGTTTTTGTTTTTTGAATTTGATGAACTATTTATATCAACATCAGTATTGTTTGACATTACTGTGATTAAAAAAATTTATATATTTTTTAAGAGGAAAAATTATATAAGAAAATTATAATATATTTTTAAAACTAAACCAATGATCTAATAATTAATTAATTGATATCAAAATAAAATGAACTTTGATAAAAACTTTGATCACTTGAAGAGAAAATAGAAAAAATGAATGATTTCGATAATCATGGTTACACATCATACGTCATAAAAACAGTTTAAGAGTTTCGGGTTTCTAATTCTTAATCTTTTACATATCATTTCATTTATTGAATACATTGTAGGAGTTTCTATTTCTTTTTTTAATTTTGTTATCTCATTTTGTAATTCTTCAATTGAAGCTAAAGAATTATTATTATCAGTTGCAATATTTTCAGTTGATTTATGTCTTTTAAATGGCTTGTTATCATTTTTCTTGTTGTATTTTTGATTCCTGTCATATTGCACCACACAATTATAACAATTTGAACAAAGAGAATCACCAACATTTACAAAAAATTCTCCCTTGTTAGCTTTTTTCTTAGCCTCTTCAGTAACATTTCTAAATGTTGAGAATTTTTCTTCTTTACAGTAATCACAGAATTGATTTTTAGGCGGCATTTAACTTTTATAAAATAGATTGCAATTTTGAAAAGTGTGATCTTCTTTGTGATCTTTTGACAGTCCGTATAAAACAATTAGGAGAATAATATATAGAAGTTGGAATGATCGTTAATTAGTACACTTGTACCCACTTTAATTGATGGGACTGGTTTGATTATTTTAAACAATATAAATAATTCGTGTAACATTTTACGTGATATTCGAATGTCGCAGAATTTTCAACTGATTATGCGAGGATCCGCAAACTGGGCCCTATTATGCGCGTGATAAATTAAATCAAATTTCCTTTTTTTTCCCCTCCATTTTGAATTCTTTCGACTTTTTAAAGCTTTTTCACAAAAGAAATTATTCATTCACAAAAAATTAAACATATACATTATTGAAGTTTTCATTTGATTTTTTATCTATTAAACAAAGAACAAAAATGAATAAAACAAACTCAAAATTATTGATAGCATTTATGGTACTCCTGATAAGTCTTATTTTCATCCTTCAGTTTACAAGCCCAATTCAATCAACCAATATTGAACATTTACAAAAAAGACAAGACACTCGTAATTATCATTTGCATATTTTCTTCATTTTTCTTGAACAAAAAATAATGCTTTATTTATTTATTTTATAGCACCACCGGATAATCGTAATTATCATTTGTTTATTTTCTTCATTTTTACCTCTTGAACAAAAAATAATGCTTTGTTTGTTTATTTAATAGCACCGCCAAAAGATAATCGTAATTATCATTTTATTTCCTTCATTTTTACCTCTTGAACAAAAAATAACGCTTTATTTATTTATTTATTTAATAGCACCGCCAAAAGATAATCGTAATTATCATTTTATTTTCTTCATTTTTATTACTTGAACAAAAAATAACGCTTTATTTATTTATTTATTTAATAGCACCGCCAAAAGATAATCGTAATTATCATTTTAT